TTGAATGTTTATCTGATCAGAAACATTTTTTTCAATCTACAATAACATCTTTAATGAATTTAATTTTTATTGAGAGTCTACTCTCAAAGAAAACATCATTCGTGCTATCAAGGTTTTCACTGTTCAGTTGGGGGAAAACTACAGACAAATAGTGGATATAAAAAAATAAAGTTTAAAAATAAAATAATAACCATCATCACTTTAGAAGATTTGAGAGGAGCCCAGGGGAGGGAGTTTGGAACTGCGTGAAGATTGGACTGCATGTCTTACCAGTCTCTTGGTGAAGGCTGTGTTAAATGTACAGTGTGAGCCTTGCCTTCTCCATTCGTTCGCCTATGAAACATAATTCACTGTGGAATCTACTGACTGTTGTCTTCATGGGGAAACGTGGTTGTCCTTGAGCAGGCATGGCTGAGCAGGCAGCTTTGGACAGGTGGTTTGATGATCAGCCAGTGAGGACAGGGACATCCAGCCACCTGGATTAACTGACTCATCTTGGGTGTCAGTGGGCCACCATCCATCAGCCAGATGGTCTTCAAATCACTGTGATACGCTCATGCCTAAGAAATCATGCTGCTGACCTATTTTCCCTTCTCCATCGTTTTTCTCAGCTCCTAGTGAGTGGGGTATTTAGAAGGCCTTAACTCATAAGCCGTTCTGTTCTCAGAACAGAATCCACATTGTTTTGTTCTGTGCCTCATTTCAGCATGAACACTCTGTTATACACTTTAGCTTTCCTGAAAAGTAAATACTTTCTTGCTAACCTCTCTTAATTCCAACTTCCTTTTTGCCTGACTCTCCTCTCTATCTGGATTTGGACCTCAAATCATCCTATATGGAATCTCAAACTAAAAACAGAAGAAAAGATTTGGAAGGGGAGCATAGTACAGTTAAAAAGAGCATGGACTTTGAAGAGAGACAGACCTAGGATAAATGAATTAGACAAAGTAAATGAACGAGGCACAGATGTTGGATTCAAGGATCTTTCATTCTCATCAGGGAGATCAGATCTGTATATACATAATTAGGATACAAAAGAGATGATGGTAAGTGACAGAAGAGGTTCAGGATGTGAGGAGAATTTAGAGGAAGGAGAGATACCTCCCAGCTAAGAAGAAGGAAGGGTTTTATGGAATAAATGGCATTGAGACCTGACTTTGTACAATAAATTCTGCTTCACTCGAGCCTCTAGTTTCTAAGTGTGGGATGTGGGTATAGATGTAGAGGGTATTTTTTGTTTTTGTTCACGTCTTAAAAGATGCATACACTATTTGTTTTGCCCATGTTTTCTTAAATTTTCCAAGTTGAAGCATCCATTAAACAGCTGTTTTCTTCCCTACTTTAGTATTCATTTTATAAAGACCGAGAAACTCTCATCTTCAATATGCACACTGCTGAGAAATGTAAACATAAAGATTTCTCTAATTTATTTAAGGAAGACTTTCTTTTCCTCGAGGAGACATGTACATAATTATCTGAATTATCCCGACCACTATCCTGGTGCAGATCTCCTCTCATCTACGGACCAGAGGTGCTGGCCATTTGCAGGTTTGCTAGAGGAGTGACCTCTTGGTTTGTTCTACAATCTAACATGCTGCAGTTACAAGCACTGTCTGTTTCAAAGCTCCAGTTGGATACCATAGCCTCACCAGGCCCTCTTCAGGGACCTCCACAACTTGCAGAACCAGACATACTAAGTAATTTGGATATTAAAACTTTTCCATAGATTAAGTACTGATTTTTGAAAGGGTAATTCATTTGTTAAGAATTTTTTTGTCTTTAAAACTTACCCACTGTCTAAAATGCTAAAAATTTGTTTTCAAAATTTATTCCTTAACTTGGGCATGTTTATTTTGTATGGTAATTTTGATTACCTAAAATTCACTGAGAAGACTGTTAGAGTGGGGAACCGGTGACGTGGGATGAGAAAGAATTCTCGACACAAAGATTAGAATAGTTTTAAAGAAAGAAAGTTTATTTTACTTCCCAAAGGTGGGAAGGGCATGGCACAAAAGAAAGAAAGGAAAAGTGCCAGCAGGGAGGATAAGGTGTTTGGGGGGGGGTTATTAGTGGGTAAAGGGGGGAAAAAGTTATTGCTGCAAGCTGACAGCTGTGAAATGGCCACAGCTATTTTTCCTTTTTTTTTTTCCCCCCTCTGTGAGACTGACTTATCAGAGTCCTTGGAATGTGGTCTGGCAGGAACTGGTGTCCATACTCCTTCTATCTTCCCAGTTTTTTTCAAGTGCTGTGAAAAACAAACTTTCAGAAAAAAACGATTTAGGCCACAGGTGGTTAATCTTACATGGGGCTGTTGTGTAAGATTTCTCTTAAAGGGGCAATTATGTGTTGTGAGTTTTTTCCTCTTTTTGTCTCTGTTAAATAGTTTATTAGCGAAGGCATCCTATCAAAGATGATGTCCTATCTAAAGAAATTTTCTGGTTATGAAATGTGAATCACATTTTTTAAAATCCGTGGCCTAATGACAATAATTTTTAAAAAGATTGTTAGTTCTGTCTTCTATAAGATTACTTATCAACATTCAGTACTGAAAAGGAAGAATGAGAGAGAAACGATAGCATCATTTATTTAGGGCCTAGTATATAGGCCCTAAATTGAAGGCCTTTGGAGACAGAAAGTCTTCCTTAAATAAATTAAAGAAATCTTTACGTTTACATTTCTCAGCGATGTGCATATGGAAGATGAGAGTTTCTTGGTCTTTATAAAATGAATACTAAAATAGGGAAGAAAACAGCTGTTTATGGGATGCTTCAACTTGGGCCTATGTGCTAGGCCCTAAATGTACCAAGAACATGGCCCATGGTGTCACTCTCATTGAGCTTTGAATCCTTGATCTGCCTCTCTTACTAGCTAGGAATTCTTTAGCAAGTTATTTAAAATGTATCGTTTTTCTCATCCATGAATTGTGATCACAGTGGTACATATCCTTTTAGAGTTGGTAGGAAGATTACATGAGACAGTACAGGAATAAAGAACCTGCGCCAACAAAAAGCTAGAAATAAAATTAACTACACTTGGTGTTATGCACATAGATATTTTACATGTTAACTCATTAATCTTCAAAGTAACCTGATAGAGTAGTATTTTTAATCTGGTATTTTTATCTGTACTTTAAAAACAAGTACATGTTGAGCATTCAAAATTCAAAATGCTACAAAATCTGAAACTTTCTGAGCATCAACATCGCATTCAAAGGAAATGACCTTTTGGATTTTTGGGTTTGGGATGCTCAACTGGTCAGTATAGTGCAAATATTCCGAAATTCAAAATAATTCTGGTCCCAAGCATTTCAGGTAAGGGATACTCAGCTTATACTCAAAATTAGAAAACAACTTGCCCCAAATCATGTAATTCTAAATAGCAGACTTGAGATTTAAACCCAGATCTCACCAATTGTAAAGTCTGTGGTACTTTTTATCTTGAATTTTTTTTCTTTTATGTGTTTCTGATAGTCCTCCTTTGTTTTATTTTTAAACAGGCAATACTACATATGCTAATTCTTCTCTAATCAAATAGTATAGAAATAACTAATGCAAGAAGTCCTCATTCATAATTCTACTTCCTAGAACTAAGCAATTTAAAAAATTTGTTCTATATATTTATATTTTCTCTGCATACATATCTATATCTGTATATTATATTTGTTTTTTTCTTAGAAGATGGTCCCAATTTACATTCTCTCAATGGTATGTAAACGTTCCTGTTTCCCTACAACATTATCAATATTGAATGTTCTTCTTTTCTGTCCTTTGTTTGATAACTAAAAGAATGCTTTCCTTTTGCTGTAATTTCCATTTCTTAAATTACAAATGAGGTTGACTGTCATCCCAAAATCAAAACTATTTTTCTCTTTTTACAAACTATCCTGTCAAAATCTGCAGTAATCCCAGGATGGTGGTGATTTAAAATAAAAATCCAGATAAGTACAATGTAGATACTCCATTTATCATCCTCATGCTCCTTTAGGTACCACCAGAAAGTAAAGAAACTTCTAGCTAAGTAACTATAACATTTAATATGCTATAATTCAATTGAAGAGATGCTTAATGTGTTTTAGAATTTTAATGGGGCTTATTATTACCAGATGTCTCATTTATATTAAATACATATTTTTAGGATTCTGCAGGAAAAAATCATCAAAGAAAATAAGTACTCCATTCATTGGTGCCACCAGTGTTTATCAAGTGGTGTCCATGTGTCAGGCATGGTGCTAGGTACTTGATTTCAGAAATAAACAAGATAAACACAGTCTCTTTTCTTAAGCAGTTGAGTCTTGTGCAGAAAATAATCAACTGGCTCAGTGAGAAAATTTTGACTGGAGGTAACAGAATAACTAATTCAAACTGGCTGAAACAAATTTATTCTCTCTCACAGAAAGTGGCTACAGGTAAGGCTGGACTCTAGGTTTGCTGATCCAGTGGTCCAGTTTTGCCATGAGAGAATCAGCTCTTTCCATCTCTATCTTTGCTCTGTCACCCACAGTGTCAGCTTCATCCTAAGGCTGGTTCCCTCATCGTTGGGGGATGGCTGCCCATGGAAATTTGGGCTTCATGCTTCCTTGTTAATTTGGGAAGTATGGGGACTTCTTGTGGCCCTCTTAAGAGTAAAGAAGAACTTTTCCACAAGTCTCCAGCAAACCTCTTTTTGTGTCTCATTGGACAGAACTGACAAAATCCATTCCCAGTGTACCCATTGAGAACATCCCCATTCTGACAAAATCATTGGCAAAAAGAATGAGACCAACACTTGGGCAATCAGGCCTGTACCTGAAACAGTGAGTGGGTACCAGCTTTCCCTAAGGCATATCTATCTGTGAGCAGCAGGGATAGATACCTGGGGAAAAATGGCCTTCTGTTAGGAAGAAAATAGGAGCGGCTTCTGCAGCAGAAGCAATATCCATGACAACAAGAGCATCTGCACAGTTTGGGGGAGTATGAGTGAAGAATGACATATTTGCCATTTTCTTTTTTGATGTCCCATAGGATCAGAGTGGCACCGAACCTGTTAGTAGTGAGGAAGATGGCAGTTTTGAAGTTGGTGTTAAACAGTTGCCTGAAAGTGAAAGCTCCAAACTGGTGAGAATCCTGGGTATTTCCACCCTACGTTCTTCTTAGGGACGTATTGCCTGTATTTTGGACCACCTTGGAAAGGACTGTCTGTTGTGTTCGATTCTCTGGGAATCTTGATCTCTGAGACGGGAGAAGCTATTCCATATAACGAGTGACCCATTCACTCTGAAGAATAGCATCTTCTACCTTCTTGACACTTGAATTGTGCTATCTAGGACTAAAGAAGCAATCCTTTAAATCTGGTTTAATATTGTATAAAGCCAAGTCTGGGCTGAATTAGTCCTAGAGGTACAGGAAAAAATGTTAAATTTATTCCATCAATTCACAGCAAAAGATACTTAAACTCACCCAGGGGCTAGGGCATTAGAAGAGAGGCAGTTTTAAAGAACTCTCCCTCCTATATAGTCTGATGTTTGATATTTTATTATTTAATAGTTATTGAGACCCAGCTACTCAGGAGCTCCTCAAGAGCCTGAGGCAGGAGGATCACTTAAGACCAGGAATTGGAGACCAGCCTGGACAACATAGTGAGACCCCATTTTAAAATAAATAGTTATTGAGCATTTACTGTGCACTAGGTACTGTGCTTTATTCACGTCCCGATCCTTGATTTTCCTACATGTGAGGAAGCTGAGAATTGGAGAAGTTAACTAACTTGCCAAAGGCCACCACTGTGGAGTAGAGTTGGAGATTGATCCCTGTTCTGCCTGAATCCCATGCTTTGCTCATAATCTCCCTTTCTGTTTTGCAGCCTAGCACTTCCAAGGGTAGACTACAAATTCTAGAAAGAAATGTGGGCTTTTTTTCCTCTATGTTTTAAAATATCTTACAAATCTCAAAGAACTAATCACTTGGTAGTGTCAACCTGATTTTATGACAGCCCAGAGTTGTTCATTTTATTATACTTTAGGGAGTTTGAAAAATCATCCATTTATCTTTTTTCAACTTTTAGAAAATATATTGGGACTGCCTTATTATATTCCATATCCTAGAAAGTAAACTAATTCTTTCCAGTTGAAGAAAAAGGACATTTCAGCAAGAGTGGAAATTGTAATGAGCTGCTCTTGAACAAACCCTACATGTGACCTGAGACCCCTGGCATCAAGAATAGTGACAGTGACAAATTATGACTGTTGTTCTTGAGCAAGGTGTCCCAAGGTTACAATTTTCCCTTGCCAAAAGATAGACCACATTTTTGCACTGAAGGAGAATGAGTAACATCAACAAATTTCAAACTGAAATCCCTTTCATTTAAAAATATATTAACTATTGGCCGGGCGCGGTGGCTCACACCTGTAATCCTAGCACTCTGGGAGGCTGAGGCGGGCGGATTGTTTGAGCTCAGGAGTTCAAGACCAGCCTGAGCAAGAGCAAGACTCCGTCTCTACTAAAAATAGAAAGAAATTAATTGGACAACTAAAAAATATATAGAAAAAATTAGCCGGGCATGGTGGCGCATGCCTGTAGTCCCAGCTACTCGGGAGGCTGAGGCAGTAGGATCGCTTGAGCCCAGGAGTTTGAGGTTGCTGTGAGCTAGGCTGATGCCACGGCACTCACTCTAGCCCGGGCAACAAAAGTAAGACTGTGTCTCAAAAAAATATATATATATATATTAACTATTTACTTGTTCTTTTTGGCACTGTATCTCCATAGGTAGGTTATGGGAAAGTCTTTTAAAGCAACAGGATTTTATATGTCGGGGCCCCCAATTTCTTCTACAGAGGAAATGATAGAAAGAATGGGAATACTCCCTTGCTTGCTAGAAGAGTCTGGTAGTCCCAACGAGGCTCATCTGTAAGCTGAAGGCAAAAGGCATCCGTAATGCGCCCCTTCTTCCCAAGTAAGCAGCACCAGTGATGGGACTCCAAGTGTCAAGACAGTTGAAGAAGCAGAGGACCTGAAGGATTGAGGGTCATTTTTAGATAATGTTTCGTGCTGGATTTCACCAAGAATAACAGATTTCCCCAAACCCATTGACTAGTGCCTCTCTTTTTCCCCTTTGTTCCTCCCCATGTTCCTCTGTTTTTGGTATCCTAAAATTTCTTTGTCACTGTTTTCAGTAGAATCTGTGCATGGTCCAGTTCAGAGAGGAAAGACAGGGTGAATTTGGACAACTTTTGTAGCATAAATGTAAATGGCCTAGCATAAAGTATCGGTTAAGAGTGTGGTCTTAGGCAAGTCACTTGACCTCACCAAGCCTCAGTTTCCTCATCTGAAGAATGGCAGTAATTAGGATGTTATGAGGAAACAAATGGGCTATGAAATGTAAATCATATAGAATATACAGAATATAAGGCAAATAGTTGGTGCTTAGTAAGTTCATTCATTCATTCAACAAATATTTGCCAAATGCCACCGTGTTCCAGGCACTAGAGATACAACGGTGAACAAAACGTACAAAAATGCCTTCCCTCATGGGACTCATGCCACAGTGGGAATGGGAAAGGAGACAGATAATACATAAATCAGCAAAATATTAGATTGAATCATATGAAATTGCTGTTTTATCAGTAAAATTTTCATATGGTTCAGCCTAATATATACATAATTGTTGTAATAAAATATTAATAACTTTTCATCATCACTAGTCATTATTTGATTGTTTCTATTGTAAGATTGATGTGTGCTCCCCTGCATGGCTACACCATCCCAGGATTGTTGCCAGATCTGCCTTGTCCAGACAGTAATATGTGATCTGTGTGGGCCTTGACTGTTTTTACAGTCGGAAGTAGTAAGCTCTAACCCTCTGAAAGTTTCTTGCTTGTTTCCTGTGTGGGCAAATGTCTCATCAGGCACTGTGCTACACCCTACAAAAGTCACCAAGAGAAAAACACAGGCCTCACCCCTATGAATTTTATCCTCTAGCATCAGCCTGGATAATAGAATTTATATCTAGAAAATCATACCAGGCAGAAGTGTATCAAGGGGAGGAAAAAAACCAAAATGTGATGGGAATTCAGAGGAGGATGGAAACCCATCTCGTTCAGAGATTAGGGAAGGTTTCTTACATTAGGAAGGCCTTTAAGATGAGCCTTTAAAGATGAGAAGGCATCTGAGATTGCTGAGGTTGGCATAAACTGGAGAAGGTTTCCGGATGAACAGTGTGGATTACAGAGTAGCGAGTAGGGACTGGCCTTTTGTAGAGCAGCAGTGGGCAGTGGAATCACAGACATGAAGGAACTGTATGCTATGAATTATAGGTTAATTTATTCCTCCTTTTATGTTCAGTGCTCAGTAAATGTCTGGTGATAGCTGGATGGATAAGTGTGTACACAAGGTGCTACCTAAGAGAAATTATACTCCAACAAGCCATTAAGTCACTTCTCCAAGATGATTTGTTATTTCAGAGCTAAGACTAAGTCATGGGTCTGTGTGTACTCCAGTGCTGTTTCCACCATTCGGTTGTGGTTGGCTTTGGTCCGTATCTCAGTAGCCCCCAGATACACACACAAGGAGTTTATAATAACTTTAGAATGTATTCCATTTCTCTAAATATTTTTAAAGGAGAAATAACTTGTTTGTAGATCAGATGAAGGTTTGTGAAACATAGATTCCAATTGTGAGAGACTGGAGTCAGTGAAGTGTCTGATATCTATTTCAGAAGTTTAGGTGAGAGCCTATTAAGACTATTTTTTAAGCCCTTTTTAAGCCTTTTAAAGACTTTTTTTTTCTCTTTTTCTTTTTTTTTTTCCTGAGGCAAGTACTTGCTCTGTCACCCCGAGTAGAGTCTACTGGTGTGATCATAGCTCACCACAACCTCAAATTCCTGGGCTCAAGCAATCCTCCAGAATACCTGAGACTACAGGCACACATCGCCACGCCGGGCTAATTTTTCTATTTTTTTGTAGAGACGGGGGTCTCACTGTGTTGCTTTGGCTGGTCTTGAACTCCTAGCCTCAAGCGATCCTCCTGCCTCAGCCTACCAGAGATCTAGGATTACAGGGATGAACCCCCACACCAGGCCCTGAAAAGGATTTTTAAAAACTATTCGTATAGAACTTTCCAATTTGCAAAACAATGTTTCATCTATTATCTCATTAGCTTAATTTTTTAATATCGCAATTTCTTCTAAAATGATATTTAATGGATTCACAGTCTTATTCAATCTTATCCCCCCAAAATATTAACGCTATGTAAAAAGAACAGAAATTATTTATCCCAGATTTATAAATGCGACCTTCATCTGCTCAGTGAAAGATCACAAAACTAGAAATTGCAAGAGCTGGGACTCTTTCCGAAAGGTCTGTGACTCCCTGGTAGCTTGTGACATAGAAGCTCATGAATTCCTAAAATGATTATTTTCATCTTTTGGATATAAATCTGTTTTTATAGTATTTGTAATATCTGTGTTCACATAATATGCTTTTTTGAATCAGTATAACTAAATTATTAAGAGTGCAAACACTGCAGCCAGACTACTTGGATTCAAATCCTGATTCTACCATTTACTAGCAATATAACCTTTAGGAAATGACTTAACCTCTCTGGGACTCAGTTTCTGCATCTGTAAAATGGAGGAAAGAAACAAAGGGTTGTTGTAAGAATTAAAGGAGTTAATAATTACAAAGCCTGCTTAGAACTATGCCAGAGTACACCATAATCACTTTATAAGAATGAGTTCTTGTTGTTAATAATGACAATGTTGTAATTCTAATTGAAGCACTAAGGGTTAGCCATATAAAGATTAGCTATTCTGAGTGAAGTATTAAGGTATAACTTGGAAATTTGAAGTGAGTTTTCCAACCTGAAAAATGCACTTATTAATGCATTAGGATTCTCCAGAGAGATGAACCAATAGGATATAGAGATATATGAGAGGGGATTTATTAGGGGACTTGGCTCACACGTTTATGGAGGCTGAAGTACCACAGTAGGCCGTCTGCAGTCTGGAGAATGAGGGAAGCCAGTAGCATGGCTCAGTTCAGGTCGTCAGGCCTGAGAACCAGGGGACCGCTGGTGTAAGTCCCGGCATCTGGAGGCCAGAGAACCTGCGGTTCTGTTGTCCA